TAGGTGAAACTCCGACGAAACAGTTTGTCACAGCCCCTCGTTTGTTGTCCTCTTCTCCCTCTCTGCCTACGGTTTACCGGGCAGTTCTATTTGACGATATATATATATATTATATATATATATATGTTGAGGGTTCAGCCTCCTGATGAGTCAGTGAAACTCCGACGAAACAGTTTGTCACAGCCCCTCGTTGGTTGTCCTCTTCTCCCTGTCTGCCTACGGTTTACCGGGCAGTTCTATTTGACGAGGGCAAATGACCCCGGGCCACTCTGGTAGCCTAGCTAAATAGAAAATACGTGATAAAAGTTAACAGTTGACACCATTGCAAGGAACCCGACTGTTCATCACTTGCTGGAGTGCATCAGATCACATGCATATACACAGATTTCACAGATTGCGATGTCTCACAGAAAGCTCAATAGTAGATGAATGAGATCCAGAAAGCTCAATTTAATTATCATAACCACTTTAAGAGAGGAAATCATGAGTCCAAAATGTATAGCGCTGAACATAGTTACAAGTCTTCTTCAATCAACATGAGTTCCTGGCCTGGCGCTCATCAGCGCCAGCTGCCAAACGTTAACAACAGCGCTCAACAGGTAAGTATTGCCATAGCTCACTCCTGCTCTCTTGTCTTCTTTCTTCCCTCTCTCCCTCAATGTCTATAGTCCTGGTCTACTCACACATCTTGCATGCGCACTCCCTATCACACGAGGATCTACTCTGAATACTACTCACTGGTGTCTCCTACTGACTATCCCTACTAACATACTAACTATCGCTGGCACCGCTATGGCTGCCTTCCTTCCAGTCAGCGCCCTTCTTCTCTCTCTCTCACACACTTAGTGCTGCTCACAGCCTAGCGCAGGTCACACACATCTAGCGCACAAGTGCCACGGCACTTCCACACTTCCATGCGAAATGAGCATCTGCCGAATGAGGAGGCTGGCTAGTCCTTCATAGTGCTGGACTGGTCTGGCGTGGCCTGCGTTCAGCCTAAAGTGTCCTGGGACTCCTGCCCAGTACCTTTTGTTGCAAAGTGTGTGTCCCAGTATCCTTTTCCCATGGTCTGCTGCTGCTTTGGGCCTTCGGGCCAGTCTTTTGGACTCCTGGTCTGAATCAGGATTGACCCGTGAAGCTGTGACTGGACTGGGACTGTGGTCTTTGACTTGGCCGAACAGACATGACTTATCGTCGAACAGATATGACTTATCGTCGAGCGGACATGACCCTAACTCAGTTTTGAAATCTGTGTCCTAAACCTGTTCGTCCAGGACCTACTCGTGACTGTTCAAAACGACTTTTCAGTTCATTATGGATGTGATATTTGCCTCAGGAACTTGTCTTTTTGAAAGTTGCTCGTGACATTGAGTTCAGGCCGAGAGGGCCCTTTTCATGCAGGGGTCACTTTTACGGGCCTGAATCGTAAAGCCCTTTTAGTAACTTGACACCACTCGGTAGATTCTCCTTCCATTTTATTTTTTTTAACCACCACTACCTTTCACAAGTAAACTCAAAGAGAAAATATAACCTATGCCTAGGCTACCAGAGTGGCCCAGGACAACTTGCCCGGCCGGGCCAAACAAACTTTTTGAAATTCCCCTCCGACTTTCATTTATTTGCTGTATGCCCCTTTGACAGCCGACTTACCTTGTCGCGCCCTTCTGACAACGATTGAAGTTTCCGAAAAACTTCTTTCGACTTTCAATTCACCTTCAGTACGTACCTACCACTACTCCTAAGGCTTATAGAGGGGACGACAAAGCTATGGTGAAGAATTGTCGATGCGACTGTGAGGCAAAAGTTGTTCAGTTTATTTTTCTGCATTACATTTTTTTTTCCAGAATGGATTTTTTTTTTTTTTTTTTTTTTTTTTAATTTGTATTTGCTGGGGACCTTCCATGGTCCTTGCACGGGTGGGCATCCTGGACAAACAAGCTGACTCCTGCGGGCTGGCTGGTAGCCTAGACCTATACTGCATTCTTTGGAGGCTGGGCGCCACGTGACCAAAATGGCTGTGGCCTCCCCAGCCAAAACGAAAAAAGAAAGTGGCGCTGTCGATTCGGCAAAGCTTGGCGCGGAGTGTTTTTCCGCCTCGCGGCCTCACCGAAGGGAGGCGGCTCGGATGTAGTGGTGCTTCAAAAAGAGGGGAAAAAAAGCGCCAACCGCCCGATAGTCCCTAAAAGTATTATTTTCATCTGATACCACCAGGATTCGAAGTCGTAATCAGTTTGCTCTAGCTTTGCTGACAGTTGCATGTGCGTAGTACACTGTGTACCATGCACAGCCACAGGGGATCAGGTCTTGGGTCAAGCGTGAGATGGGCAGTCTTGGTACCTCCGTCCTCGGAGCCCTTGGAACTGGGAACTTTGGACAGTCATTGCAATCTAACTGATGTGAACTATGTACTTCTGGTCGCCTGATTCAGGAGTTTGTGAAGCCGAAAGTCCCACATCCACAGGGAAGCAAGAAGTCGAGGCGGAGATACTCGCAATCATCAGTGTCAGTCCCTCCTGGGGCGGATATTGCGCAAACAACTTCATTGGCTAATACAGCGCCGCCTTGCAGTGTGGACTCGGACCCCCCTTTGATGAGTGTGCATATGCCGTCCAGTTTCTCTGCGGCGAGCGGGACGCTCGCAGCTCCTAATTCTGTGGATAGCAAAGGAGAGCTGGCGATTGTGGAACGAAGCTTAGATATGCCAGATGTCCCAAGAACGCGCCAAGGACGGAGGTCGAGTCATGGTGGTGGTTCTGGCATGCACCGGCTTGGAGAGGACGAGCTGGACCCTTTTACAAATCATCACTGCGGAAAGTCTTTCGGCAACAGTGGGCAGCTTGTACTTCAATCTGGCTGTAATACAACGGAGCAGTCAAAGACGAAAGATATTAGGAAACCAAGCAGCAAGAAGCCACCCAATGATCAACAGAGAGAGGACAGCCACAGCAAGGCCTCTAAACGCTTGCACTTCAAAGCGATCAGACTGGTCCAGGTAATTGGCAATCCGTTCGGCACGCACTCTGGCGGAAAAGCCCATGTACATAAGGCATGCTATGCTGCAACCAATGTTCAGTTTATGGATTCGTTTCTCTTCCCTTTTTTTTTTTCTTTTTTTTTTTTCATTCACAGGCCCTTTCTATTCTGGGGGGCAGCAGTCCGGCTGCTTATCACCGGCAAGCATGTTTGTACATCGAAGAGAAAGTGGGGAGCATACGAGAGAAAGAGCCAACCTATCCCTTGCGGCCCTAGCCGCCTACAAGGGGGCACCTGCTACAGGGCATCCCTCCCCTCAATCCCTGAGGAGGGGGGCTGCCCTGCTGGTCGGGAACCTTACTAGCAGCACCCAGTCACGCAGCAGGGCAGGACAACCTCCCAGATGGCAGGACAAAGGGGTTGGGGGGGGGGGGGCGCCGGGGCCGAGCAGCTGCGCAGGCCGCATAACACCTATGTCACTGTCTAATGCAGCATCTTATCCAACCCCTATTACCATTTCTTCTGCCTGAGCCTTAACCGCCTCATTTATACCTATTCCGGGCCTTATGTTGTCCTAATGTCCTTTTGTCCCTGGTTTCCATCCCGACCCCTGTAAGCCCCCATTTTTCCCAGGAACACCTTCGTACTTACTTTGTCTTGCTTCCCTATTCCGGGCATTATGTTGGCCTAATGTCCTTTTGTCCCTGGTTTCCAGCCCTACCCCTTTAAGCCCCCATTTTTCCCAGCAACGCCTTCGTACTTACTTTGTCTTGCTTCCCAAGTACTCTCATCCTTCCTCACATCCGCCCCGTGTACCCACCATAGGTTCACGTAGCCGCTTACTTCCACCGTACCTTATTCATACAGGATGGTTTCTAACTAGTCACTCGAGCTATCTCCTGGGTTCCCCAGCTTCTTTATTTACAACCTTTTTAGATCATTTTACGTTGTTGTTCCTCCCTACCTTTTTAGATCATTTTACGTTGTTGTTCCTCCCTTAACCCCTCTCCCCCCCCCCCCCCCCCCCCCCCCCCCCCCCCCCCCCCCGACACACATGCCCCCCCCCCCCCCCCCTTAGCCTACTTCCACCTCCCCTATTTTTTCTCACTATTCTATTCCCCCTAGCCTGCTTCCAGCTCCCCTATACTTGCCCTCTATTCTATTATGGTACATCCACCTGCTATGCTACTCCTTTCCCTCCCTCCCTTACTTCCTACTTCTCCAACTATAGGCCTTTTTTTTTGTTTTTCTTGGTTGGTTTGTTTCAAAGATCTTAACAAGTTAACAAACTTAATACCTATGTTACCAGAGTGGCCCGGGACCACTTGCCCATCCGGGCCAAAAATGAATTAACAAAAAAAAAAGTTTTTTTTTTTTTTTTTTTTTTTTGCAAAGAATTTCGGTCCGACCCTGAGGCAAAAGTTTTTCAGTTTACCCAAGAGCCTAGCTCAGTGGGTACACCCATGAACTGTTCAAATACAGACCCGAGTTCAAATCCAGATGATGGAACTTGATGAGTAAAACCAACTACTAATGAATTTGAATTGCCTGGGGCCGGTCAGCTCAATGATAATATCTCAAGGCCGTCGCCCTTTTTTTAAAAAGAAGAGAAAAAAAAAAAAGTTGTTCAGTTCATTTTTCTGCACATGTTTTTTTATTGTGCTGCACTCACAAAAAACTGCCAGTGATATACTGGAGGAAAGTGGGGATGACGTCAAGTCCGCATGGCCCTTACGGGGTGGGCTTTTTTTTTTTTTTTTTTTTTTTTTTTTTGACCGGGACCTTCCCTGGTCCTTGCCCGGCCGGGCGGCCCGGTTTATAACACAGCTTAATAGTAGTTAATAGTACTTAATACCTTATGGTCTAGGCTACCAGAGTGTCCCGGGACCACTTCCCTGGCCGGGCCAAAAATATATATTGAAAAATATTTAAAAAAACAAATTTGGTAAAGAATTTCGATGTGACCCTGTGGCAAAAGTTGGTCAGTTTATTTTTCTGCATAAAATAGTTTTTTTTTAAGATTTTTTGGAGGAACTTTTTTTTTTTTTTTTTTGTTCGTTAGGACCTTTTTTATTCTTTGCACGGTCGTGCCACCCGGGCAAACAACGTGACCTGGGCGGCCCAGCTGGTAGCCTAGTTAATAGTGCATTTTTTGTTTTTTTTTTCACAATTGAACTATGTGTCAAGCAATTAGGCGATGTCCAAATTGTTGCACTTTGTGCTTGGAGGCTGACAAAGGTCGATCAAGTGCAAAATATAGATACGCTCTGCACTATCATGAAGGGTTGGTGGAAGAGAAAGCACTTAATTGAAACACAACAAAGTTTGTGCGTGAGTGACATATAAAAGATGTGCATTGTGCTTGTTATGCAGGAGTTTCATACAGTGCAACTTTCCCCCCTTATCTCCATCCTCCAGGGCATATGTTTTTCTATGGAGATGCCCATATGTATCTCCTGAGTTTTTCCTCTGGATCATTGTGTTCTCATTGGGCATCGGCAGTGATGTGCAGGATCCCCAATCGAATCCCCTCTTTTTTTTTTTCCCTCTCTATTTTGGACCATTTCTCAGTTTATGCGTGTCATCGTTGTGCAGGGGCCATGCCAATGCTGCGCAGCACGGCGAACGTGTTCGTGCCCCTCCGCGTCCGCACGAACGTGTTCGGGCGAACATAATTTTTTTCCGTAAAAAAATAAAATAAAAAATTACCCTTTTTTTTTTTTTGGCCCGGCCGGGCTAGTGACCCCGGGCCACTCTGGTAGCCTAGTCTTTTTTTGGTTTTTTATTTTTAACGCACGTTTGGCTAAGAATTTGAACATGACTCAAGGCAAAAGTTGCTTGTATTGTTGTATATTTGTTTTCAGATTTTTCTGAGACTTTTTTTTTTTTTTTTTTTTTTTTTTATTGTTCGCGTTTGGAGGGTTTTGGGCGCTTGTTCGCCTTCGGGCGAGAACACGTTCGGGTTCGCCTCTGAACGCGAACACGATGCTACGTAGTGCTAATGTTCTGTGCATCGCTCCAATTCTAACATATGCGCCGAAGGATTATCCCCTCAATTGTCGTGTTTAACCTTCCCCTCTATTGTACTCCGGAATGTCCTTCCAACACTTTCACCTCCTTCTCTCTTACTGTCACTCTGCTCACCCGAGTTCTCTAGTCGTCTCTACCTTCCGTGCCTCTCTGCTCTTTGAGCTGGTGCCGCACCCCCCGCTCTGCCCGCTGTGTGCACAACCTCCTTACTCCCCTTGTCAGGCTGATTCACTCTCATCTGCACGTCGCCCCGCTCTCTTCTGTGAATCCTCAATCCTCTGCGGGCGATTCTTGGAGTAATCCCTCTTAGTTTTCCCAACCTGAAATCAACGGAGCCGAAGCACGGATGAGTTGGTGGACAGCAGAACCTTTGTGAGATTGTATTGCAAACATCTGTTAAAATTGGAACGATATAGAGAAGATTAGCATGGCCCCTGCGCAAGGATGACACGCATAAATCGAGAAATGGTCCAAATTAAAAATTAAAAAAAAAAAACAAAAAAAAAACGAGTTTGCGAAAGAAGTGTTTTCTGTGATTTCTGGGACGGAGCAACTCTGCTGGCGAGCCCGTGGGGTTTCCTACCTTTCATTAACTTCTTCCTCTTTGTCCTGCCGAGTCTCCCATCTTACGTAGTGGAAAACGGTCCCGCAATACGTGCATGGAAGACAGCTTTCAGGATTGCTTGATGGGTTCTTTGATGTCTGGTCCAACACCTGTCAGCCATGTATAGGAATCTCAAATAGAGAGCAAAGCTCGAAGCGACCTACGTAATCGTATGTATGTAGGCTGTTCGTACGTGCACACGGGCACAGATTTGTCACCTGGACAGTGGACACACACCCCCCGGAGCAGGATCTACGGGCAGGGAGCTAGGTGGCCCCAGCACAAAGTGAAAGATGAAAAAAAAAAAAAAAAAAACTGGAAACGAGCTAGATGTGTAGCAGTGTCATTTGAGCAACTTTTGGATGAGCGTCACCTCAGAATTCCTTACTGGACCGAATATGCGCAAGGAAATTGAAAATTCGCCTTACGCACCCACGTTTAAACCCCTTTCATTCCCTTCAAGCCCCATCTATTCCCCGCTTCCACCCCCTGCGCAAGAAAACAAAAAAACTCCCTGAGCTTTTACATGCCCAGGGGTACCCCAGGCAGGTGGACGGTTGCATGACCTGCACGGGTGCTTGGCCGGGCACCTCACAGTTCTCACATACAGCATCATTGCTGCATCCATCATTTCTCCCCCCCATGATGAGCACTGATACCATGCAGTCACATGGATGTCTGGTCAGACTGCGTCAGACTGCCGAGATGCATGGATGCTAGATTAATCCTTTGAGAGGAGAGTGTGTAGAGAGCACGAGTGGAAGACTGAATGGTTTCGACAAAGCAATGGAATAGATGCATGACTCACCCAGCAGGCAATGCGGGGAATCGACTCACGCAGGGGGAGGCAGAACAGACATGGAAGAATGATTCCGTGCTCAATCGTGCACACACGAAGAGAGCGAGCAAAACAAGAAGCGAGGAACAAGAAGAAACCACTAAATGCAATGATGGGCAGAATAATATCCTTCCCCGTCCAACAAACCTCCTCCTAGGTAAACGTGCCACCGAAACGTAGAAATGAATATAATCACCGTTCGGCAGAACTGTGGTATTCGAGATAGAATTCAAAAACAAGATCTCTCTCTCTCTCTCTCTCTCTCTCTCTCTCTCTCTCTCTCTCTCTCTCTCTCTCTCTCTCTCTCTCTCTC